ACGACCAGAACTTCTCCTCATTTCCAATGCTCACCCAAATCTTCTTTTTATTTCCCTCAACCTCCTATACTTCTGCTTGATTTGTCACTGATCCAATTTTATTTTGAAACATCTCTAAATGTTCGCTTGATAGCTTAGTTTCTTTCCTATTCATTTCTCTTTTATTTTTTACATCACTAAAGCGTGAATCCTGTCAGTCTTTTCCTTGCTGTGCATGACCTGTTAGAAGACAAAATATTGTGCCTTTCATACATTCTTGTACAAAAGTCTAGAGTTTTGAAGGGTTCCTTTAAATAATTGTTTTAGATTTTTCAGAGTTAAACATTCAGATCCTTATACAGCTCGGGGCAAAAAAGGAAACCCTTTGAAGGAACATATAACTGTTTCTTTCATATACCCATGGTTAATCACAAGTTCAATTACATCCAATTGAAAGATCGTCCAAACTTTCGTCCAAACATTTGAAACGTCTGCCATCTGTAAAGATTAAAGAGGAAAACACCCATCCTCGAGAGGGTGGCCGGGATCAGACGGTAAAATAATAAAGACGTCGGCTATGACAACGTAAAAAGATCATCCAGTGGGATCGAAACTGTCTATTTTTAAAGCAAATACTTTCTTCTGGTTGAGTAAAGCTATGTTTTGTTTTTGGACACATAAGCAAACTCATCGTGCAACAGACCAAAATAGGACTATTTTCAAATAAATCTCCTGATATCACAGAGAAAATTTTCTGTCTCTTCTTCTCTCTCTTCATCTTTATAATTATCCTCGAAATTTCCCATGGAGTATTCCTCATTAACAACCACTGAAAAGCGTAGCTTCCGTTAATTTTTTTCATTTAGGATGATTTTTAACTACTTGGAGGTTTAATGTCTCGGAGGCTTTAACACGAATGCAGGCTACGATATGGTCTCTTATATCGCCTCCTTACGCGAGGCGAAATTTTCATATCGAGTTGTAAACAACGTTTATAAATTAACCTGTTCAGCTTGAAAGACTTTGTTGAATGAACTGAGCTGTATACTCAATTGAAGTATCCGGTCATAATTTCTAAGTTATTAATCATTTCCTTCGACCTGATAAAAGACGTCTTTTGCCCTAGAGAGATACCTAAACGCCAATGTGTTTGGAGCGTATTTTACTTTCATTAGGAACAGAGCTTTTAAAAATAAAATGGAAAATTTGCTATTGCTATTAATGGCTTACTTTCAAACAAATGATCTCACCCTAATTTCCATGGCAAATGTATCTTATTAGACGTTTTTTTGTGTAGTATCGCTGAGTATTTTTACTCGTTATTTGTATTTTGACTTGGGCTCGTCAAAATACGGCACAACTCGTAAAAATACTCAGCGATACTACACAAAAAAACGTCTAATAAGTTATTTATTATCCAACACACCACAAACTGTTATTTCAGTGCGGGCGAATTTCGCGGATATTTATTTACGGGGAGTGCGTGACAGAAGAATGCGAAGCGGAACGGAATTGGCGCGTTGTCGTGTTGCTGTTTCTATTTTCTTCAATAAATGAAGAAATTTCCTGGTCGTCTACCTGTTTTTCTTTGTTCGATTCATCTAATGAACTTGGACCATAGATGCCAGCCATTCCGATTCTTCGTGGTCAGAAATATAATTCAAATTGACCGACATTTTTTTTTAACTTCAAACCAATTCTTCGCTTGCGCGATGCGAGAAAACCTGTTTAACCGGTACTCTACAGTACAAACACCGCGTGATATT